TTTTCTTTTATTTTCAATTTCTAAATTTAGGAGAGTACTTTCATTGTCTTCACATGGCCAACAACTAATGTTAAGTGGTATGTACGAATCGTTGAGGTGATTTATTTTCCACTTGAGTAAAGGATAAGTTGTGTTTACCCGAAAATTCTTTCCCTTATCTTTCAACTCCAGCACATTAGAGTTATACTTACTTTTGTCCAATATGGGGTGTATCTTAGCTTTATCTGAATACTCGTTATCCAATTCTATAATAACTTTTGAATACTTGTGATTATTTATTTGCATATTAAAGGTTCCTTGAATGTCCAAATCGCAAAGGGTTCCTTCAGAGCTCAGAGTACATATAATATGTTCACTTATGACTATGTTGATGGGTTTATCAAATAGGGCGTTTACATTGATGTTTGGCTTGTTGAGCATTTTGTTACTGTCTACTACGTTTAGAATTTTCACTTGCTCTTTTTTGCCTGCTATTTGCATTCCTTTATATGAATTGAAGCTCTCATCAAGGATAATATCACTGTGCTGCTCCTCCGACTTGTATAGGAAATTGTCCATCATGTTGCTGTTGTAGCCCATGTTGCTGTTGTAGCCCATGTTGCTGTTGTACCCCATATTAGCGTTATAGCCCATATTGGCGTTATAACCCATATTGGTGTTATAACCCATGTTGGTGTTGAAATCCACATTTGTGATGATATCATTGGAGAGAAAACTGTTACTACCAGTTTTGCCCTGTTTTTGTCTATTCTTTTCCAACTTGGAAGCAATAAATTTCCTTCTCTCTTTTTCCTCCTTCTCTTTATTCTCCCTAATTATGGTCTGCAATTTCTCTTCATGTGATTCCATTTCTATATACGTTTTTATTTGATTCGTGTTTACTATTTCGCGCACTCCATTTTTTATCAACTCATCAATGTAGAATATGATAGTAAAGCATTTCTTCAAAATTGTACTTTCGTTGATGTTCCCCTGACATAGGTCCTGAATAATCTGACTAAGCACTTTAATTATTTCCAAGTCTTCTATTATGTTAGAATTTATATTCGTTATTAGGAAAATATAAATACTATCCAGCGGCTGGTACACATATCTTACTTTGTCCGTTTCTATATACGTGTGGTCGCTCCTCTCTCTTTCGATCAGATTATGAAACGGGATGGTTAGAGAGTCCAAGTCACATTTGCTGATGTTCTGAAATTGCCGCGAAACCAAAATCTTGCTCTTCGTGCTTATGGCGGCGCTCAACACAGTCATTTTCACCTACTGGGTTGTTCGACTAATCGGGTGACACTGCGATCAGCTATATATTACGCGATTACGCCAACCAGGTTTGTATAACTAACTGGACGGCCAAAAATACACACGTTTGCTTCAAGATAAAGAAAGGGATTCCTTTATGTCATTCAAGAAATGCCAATGTGGTTGCATGTAAGGCTATACCTAAACACATGCGAATGAATATCATTGACACGTGGGAGGAGCAATGATAAAATGTCCTCCCCTATGATGAGGGAAAAAAAACAAACAGCAAGATTAAAACGGTGTGCGAAGAAATGCTCACGTGCTTAACGCTGTTTTGGTCAAAGCAGCGTGAATAAAAAAAAACAGTACCTTTATGCTATCCCCTCCAAGAAAAGGGAACACTTAAAAATGCACATAGGTCAAAATACATACGTACGTCATCATAAACATACGGTCTGTGTTGCCCGTGCGATATGCAAATCCGGTGGGGCGGGAAATGGGGACCAAACTGAAACCAAGATGGTTGGCACATAAAAAGTAGTATGGTCAAATTCGACGGAAAAAAAAATAATGTATACTTCACTCCCACGATGAAAAGGTTACGTGTATTTTGTGGTTCCGGCAAGGGGAAATCGTAATCGCTAAAACTCAGAGCAAGCAACACGTTCGTGGTTCGCAAACATACCTAACTTGTGCGGTTAAAGGGAGACTGGTGTTTGCTCGCTTAATGTGCCATCCTTCTCGCGCCTGCCTAGCTTTTAATACAAGAACGGGAAGAAAAAAAAAAAAAAAAAAAGATAAATATAAACCTAAACATAAATGTGATATATGCAATAAAAACAAATGGTTATACGTGTGGTCCCGCTTGTACATGGATTATATATACGGCGCCGTGCGCGTATGCGCAAGTTTATTAAAAAAAAAAAAAAAAAAAAAAAAAAACAAGCAACGCCAAAATGGGCGCCCAATAACGCAGTAGGCGTAGAAGAGGCGCGGGACAGTATTTGCCCCCCACGTATATAGTGTAGCCATAGAAGATTTTATTATTTTTTTTTTTTTGGGACATTTCTTCATGCTCATGCCAATATGCCATTTGTTGTAAAAGCAATTTCCCAAGAACAAAAATAAATAAATAAAATAAAATACGCAAGAACAATACGTACATTAATTGCGTATGATGTTGCCCCCTTTTAAAGCTTTGAATTAATTTCATTTTAATCGGCCGATCTGTGCATTTAGCGACATCTTTTTATAAATGTTTCGTCATTTTATGCCAGGTTTACGTTTGGCCAGTTTCCCCCCGTTCTGTACATCCCGTGGATGCTCCATCGGATGGAGAAAACTGACCAACTTGACCAACCCAAAGGGTCATTTTTAACTTTCCCTTTAAGAGAGCCTTTTGGTAAATCCTTCCGCGCAAGACCATTTTTGTTTTGCACGTAATATAAATGCCACCCTGTTTTTGGTTAAACCAACGGGGTCAGTAAAACGTTTTCATCGTGGCGATATTTTCTCCCCATTTTTTTATGTCTGCGCAAAATCTATAGTTTGTTGTTGTATGCTGTTCACCCCCCAAAGGAGCATCACAAATTTCAGACCTACTTTATAACGTATTCTGCTTTGTGAAGTAACCCTAAAAAGTATGAAAGCGCGTTGACGGATAGAATTTCGAGAATTGTTACTATTTATGGCTCACACAGAGGGGGGTGGTAGGCGAAGTTGTTCATCAGCATAGGAACGTGCATACCTCAGCAGGTTTGTACACGTGTGGATGCAAGAACAGGGGCGCGTCTGTGGTGGACTGCACAGATAAGACCCCTTGCAGGAGAGGAACGGCGAGTATATAAGTGAACACCCACGTAATAGTAAAAAAAAAATAAATAAAGCATAACGAAAGATGTTGCAGAATAAGCAGGGCGTGAGCAGCAGGCTCGGTGTACCTGCACGCGTGAACAAGGATAACGGACGCTGTGCCCCTGCTGGGGAAGCGGAGGATGTGAAAAAAATAAACTTAAAAATTACTGACGAGGAAATAAAGCTACATCTGAAAATAATCGAGGCACTGTACCCCAACATGAAGCCCAAAGTAGATAGGCTTATCAACGGGACGTACAACATTTTCACAAAATTTTTAATACAGTCTCATATAGACGACTACAACTCCTTCGTCAATGTGTACCTGAAAAATATGCCGGAGAGCATCCCTGTGGTGGAATTTTCCCCCCATATGAACACATACGCTACGCAAAACTTTAACAAAAAATCAACAGATTCGATCAAGTTTTATGTAAGTGACATAAAAATAAAGAATCCCGTGTTGAAAAACGACAAGGGGGAAACAAGAAACGACTATCCCTATTTATGCAAAATGTCATCGAGAACGTATGAAGGAGAAATTACTATAAAAATTAACAAAAAAACGAATGATGAAATAATCAGCACTACGGTGAGTGCAGGGTACATCCCTGTGATGGTGTTGTCAAATTTGTGCAATCTAAGTAGCTTAAATAAAAAAATGCTACCCCAGAAAGGAGAAGACGAAAGCCTATTAGGAGGATTCTTCGTTATCTCAGGACACTTAAAAGTGATTAGATATGTAATTCACCCAAAGTACAACACTATTCTACTTAATGAGGACAATAAAGTGCATATGAATTGTCTACTAAATGATAATTCTGTTTATGTTAACTTTTTGTCTTGTCCTAAATTTGATTTCTTTACCTATGGTGCCAGATATCAAAATTCCATCTTGACAGCCCCTCTGCATGTCATTCTGTTACTTCTAAGTCCCATCAAGAAAAAAAGTTACTTATTCAGTAAAATGAAAATGGGCATAAAAAACGAAAATGCAGTCAAGTATATAGAGCAATATATCCAATCCATATTTATAAAAAATGGACTAAGCGAAAAAGAAGTTTTTGAAAAATATAATTTGAAATATCTAGGCAGCTCTTCCTATTTCAGGAGGGGTATATTTCGTTATAGTATCGCATCTGATGAAAAAAAAGGCAAGACAATTCTTAAGTATGTCATCCTACCTCACATCCAGACCTACTCAGAGAAATTTGAAACTGTTTGTATGATGTTTAAGACCTTAATTCTTAGCAAATTTAAATTAATCGCTCGAATTAATAAGGATTCCCTCGAAAACCACGCAGTCACGACGTGTAGCCATTTGCTGTCAAATTTGCTCAAGGATCAAATAGTGACTTGCCTCAGCCGCTTAACTTACAGATATTCCAGGAACTTTTACAAATTTTACGAAAAAAAATATGACTCCTTTAAGGTGATTGTGAAGCAGATTTACCTCCGTTACAAGAATATGGTTATGGACGAGCTGGACGAGCGGCACCTGAATTCGGTACCGCTGCAGGGCGATGAGTCGGATGTTGTCAAGGCGGCAGATTCAGGTGAGTAGAGGCGATTCGATGTGCGTCCACACTCGCGTGCAACCAGAGTTGGACTACTTCTTACTCAACGCAAGATGAACTCCTTATACATTTTCTAATTCTTTTCACACCCCCCCCTCTCAGGCAACCAACTCGCCATTAGCCATAAAAGCGAATCGGTGAAAAAGCTCAAGTCCCTCTTCATCGAAGAGAAGGAAAAGCTCTTTAGCAGCGTCGAGAGCTACATTCGGGAACTGTACAACGACAACCAGCTCTTCATAGAAATCGCAAAGTCCTTCACCACGCTCAGCGTGCCCATCATATTCTTTTTCAAGACGGGAAATATTTCTTCAGAAAATATAGGGTACCAACAAAAAAGCGGGTGGGTCATCGGAGCAGACGAAATTAACAGTCTCCGATTTATTACAAATTTTCGAGCAATACACAGAGGATGTTTTTTTCAAGATGTTAAAGTTTTAAGTCCAAGAAAATTACTAGGGGAGTCATGGGGGTTCATATGTCCTGTCCATACGCCTGACGGTTCCCCATGTGGTTTGCTAAATCATTTGTCACAGTTTAGTTACATCCACAATGCGGCTACCAACGAATCACACAAGTTTAATATAAAATTGTACTTAAAAAAAATTGGAGTTAACGTAAATCTGGATGATACTAGTGGTATCCCTACAATATATGAGGACCAAACTATCCCCATCGTTGTGGACTCGGTTCCTATAACGTACATAAGTGAACAAGATTTCAGCAGAATTGTTTACAAATTAAAGTATGCAAAAAATCATAACCTATACAATTTAAAAGCCTACTTCGAAATCAATGCATACTTGAATGAACCCCTCCTCATGAACTCCATAATAATTAACACCTTCCCCGGAAGATTGATCAGACCCTTGTTTAATTTAAAAATGAAATGCATAGAATACATCTCCCCGTCTTATCAACCTTACGTAGCTATTGCTATAAATTACGAAGATATTAAGAAGAACAATTTAGCTAGAAAAATGTTAAGGATGAAGGAACGTTTAGTTGGTTCCAAAAAAGGGACCCAGCAAAAAATGACCATAAAGGAGCAGTATTTGCTTCACACCAGGAGGAAGAAATTGGCGTCCTCCTCAAAGGGGAGTGCTATGCAGAATTGCAGTTCTGTGGAGGAGGGACGACCCGGGGTATCCGAATCAGCGATTAGCAAGAAGGTGATGCAACTTTTGGAAGAAGGTGAAAGTGACGAGGGGGACCATACAGATGGCCAAGGAGACCGCACCGATGACGAGAACGACTACGTAAGCAGCTCGAACTATGACTCTAGCGAGGACTCATGTGGGGAAGGAAGCGATGGTAGAAGTGATGGCAAACCACGCCACAGCGTACCGCCCACCTCCTACACAGACAGCGACGAAAACGCAAACCTCGACATCTACGAACAAATGCCGCAAAAGTTCGAATACATGGAACTGAAAGAGACATCTTTCCTGTCCTTCCTGGGATCCCTGACCCCCTTTTCCGACCACAACCAAAGCCCGCGTAACATTTACCAGTGCCAAATGTTGAAGCAGACGATGGGTATACAAAGCTTAAACATGATGTATACATTCTCGAACAAAATATATAGGATGATTACTCCACAATTACCGCTAGTCGTCACAAGAGATTACGAACTATATGGGGTAGATAATTTTCCTAGTGGCACCAATGCAGTTGTGGCCATTTTGGCGTACACAGGATACGACATGGAAGACGCACTGATTATAAACAAGTCTAGTGCAGAAAGAGGTATTTTCAGGACCCATATTTACAAAACGGAAATTATCGACTTGGAGAAAAATCATGGCCGTGGCGATTTTGTACTAGGAAATAATGTAAGATACATGAATAGCAATTCAGGGAACAATGCCGCCAACAGTAACAGTGCTAGGCAGAGTAACATAAACTTTCAGTACGAACATATGGGTAAGATGTTAAATAAGGACGGCTTGCCTCGCGTTCAACAGAAGATAGTCGAGTCGAATCCACTATACTCCTATATCAATAAAGGAAACGGACTAACCGTGTACGAGAAATTTAAAGCACATGGAGAATATTACGTAGACTGTGTAACTAATTACAAAAGTGCGAGAAATCAAATTGCAATGATCCGATTACGCACGACAAGACCACCTCTTGTGGGAGATAAATTTGCATCAAGACATGGACAAAAGGGAGTTGTTTCGAGGTTGTTTCCACATGAAGATATGCCTTTTTCGGAGAGTGGAATTGTCCCCGATGTTATTTTCAACCCTCATGGTATCCCCTCACGTATGACCATTGGTATGCTTATCGAAAGCATTTGTGGAAAGGCTGCCTGCATCTATGGCAAGAGAATTGACGCTACTCCGTTTAGAAAATACACGCAGCAAAGAAGCTTCAACAACGAGTGGATTGATAATTGTGGTGTTAAGGGATTTCTCGAAAAGAATAAACAAGGCAAAAATAAAAGCGAAGAAGGTAGTAGTACCCACGCTCCTGCACAGAATGTTGTTGGTCACGACCATAATGAAGAAAAAAAAAATGATATTCCCAATGGCGGGGAAACACAAAAAAGTGCAAAAAATAATATCACATATGACGAAAAAATTGACTACTTTGCAAAGCTGCTGCTAAACAAGGGCTACGATTATTATGGAACGGAGTTACTGTACAGTGGCATATACGGGGTACCCCTCCAAGCGCACATTTTCTTTGGCGTCATTTATTACCAAAGGTTACGACATATGGCTTATGATAAGGCGCAAGTCAGACGAACAGGACCAGTTTGTAACTTAACACATCAGCCCTTGAAGGGCAAGAGAAAACATGGGGGTATCAGATTAGGAGAAATGGAACGAGATGGGTTAATATCTCACGGTTGCAGTTTTATAATTAATGAAAGGTTTCTCATGAACTCAGATGGACATGAGTGCTTTGTTTGTCCCCAGTGTGGACTAATCCTTTCCCCAATTATGCAATTCACCTGTAGTGGGGAAATGGTTAAGGGAAGAAGCATTGGTGGTAAGAGCAAAATAGCCGTTTGCAAGTCTTGTGGAGTTTCCTGTAAAATAGTTTATGTGCCTTATGTTCTGCGCTATTTACTAAATGAGCTAATCTGCCTAAATGTGACCATCCGGCTAAATATCAAGTCGGTGGAAAACATGTTTGACATGAAGTGAGGTGGGAGGGGTGGAAGTACCAAACTAATACCACGTTCATCCGTTTGTGCGGTTATTTATTTATTTTTTTTTTTTTTTACGTTATTCGGGACCCCACCACCACCACCACATGTGACCAACTCGGTTTGTTTTCGTTTTGCGTGCTAATGTAATGGCGTTTTTTGCGTGAAGCAGGGAATGGAAAAATGAACAAGGGGAAACAAAAATGTTTCACACCACCACTCCGTGCCCATGCACGTATTGAATATGTTTCCCCTTTTGGCGAAGTGGGAAGAAACAACGGGCAAAGCTGGCGTAGTAGGGGCATATTCATTCTGCGACGGCCTGTGCCTACACCAGGGCGCGGGTTCCCATGCAAGATGTTACGAATAACGGTCTACGCATAAACGTGAAGCTTAATGCCTGCTACGCTAGAAATTTTCCCTTTTTTTTTCTAGCCTCTTTTTTAACACACCCCAATTTTCGCAAAAACAAGTAGCCTTTTTGATTTTTGTTTGAAAAAAAACTGTAACTCATTTAGGCACTTCTTTCAACAGAAGAAGTTTCGTTTTCAAAATTAACCTTTTTAAAAATGACGAACAACAGTATGTTTTGCACATTTGTTTCAAAATGTGGAAAGTCTTTTTTTTTCCCCCTTTTTCCCAAAACGGCGTGGCTATTTTGCCTTTTAAAATATCACACTGACATATTCAAACATAATTGCACTTGTGCCGTGCGTGTAAATTCGCATTTTTCGTTTTTTCCTAATTTAAGCGACGCGGAAAAAAGAACAACATTTGACAAGTGAAAGATGGTTCACGTCCCTGCGCGGGGGCAGGCACATTTGGCAGTCCATATATGTACACATAAATATACATGTTTACACATTTACGCGTTTGGCCAGCGGAGTAAACAACACTCTTTTACATACCCTCATTTGGTCCACTCCCACATAAAATAGTTCCTCTGTGGGGACTCTCGCTCAATCCGCCCATCACTTATCTACGTGATACCAAAGTGGAATTCCGTTACAATAAGTATTCTTAATTATTTATTTTTTTTTTTTGCAGGAACATGTGGCAATAATTATGGAACGGTGCCTCTTCACGTGCGCATACTCGCATAAATAAATGAGTATATTTCCAATGCACGTAAAGCACACGTATCCACATGCATACCGGTACATGTGCGCAAACGGGCTTAAAATTGACAAGGATCGCCAAAAGATGGCACCCACAAATGTTCTTCAAACTTTTTGAAAATACTCACCAAAGTGCACAAATGCTCAATGGCGGGGGTGGTAAGGCTCTCCCGAAAGCATGTTATTTTTAGCGGCAAAATGTTCTGCTCCCCCGTTTACGCACTATCAAAGATTTGTTCTACAAGGCTGCCAAAAGGGAAAAAAAAAAAAAAAATGTAGTCATGCGTATGCACGAACAAAAATGTAATGTGCACTTACATGGATCAAATGCAAAGATAAAAAAAAAATAATGTAGCATGAGAAGAACAATTGTAGGCTCCACCAAAATTAATGCACACAAAAAAATAAGACCCCCCAAAAAATAGTGCGGATACTTCTTTGCGGTGCCTTCTCATTTTCTTCCCTTGTAGCGAGATAAAAATGGGCAGAAGCATGCAACATCTTATTTTCGCCTTTTTTTTTTTTGTTTTTTTTTTTTTCATTTTTGTATTTGCCCCGCCCCGCGGTATACATCACATGGGGGCAAATTGCAAGCCACAAATGGCTGTCCCCAAAGTTCATGTGGGCTGGCAAATTGTATGTGGTCTTGTTTCGCTTCTACCTCGCTTTACGTGCACTTAGAGGTTAATTGGCCACAACCGTTTCTCCCACTCGTTCACCTGCCAGTTATCTCCCCCATTAGTTGATAGTTTATTGGACTTCTTATTTATTCCCTTGTTCACTTGTTCATATATATATATTTTTTACTCACCCACTCAACCAACCGCCGTTAAGTTAACACCAATTCCTGATGAACATAGAACGAAACATTCTGCTATGTACAGTTAAAACAAATTCACTTTTTTTCTTTAATTCATTTCCCCTTTTTTTTTTTTTTTTTTTTCAAATTCAAATTTCACCATAATTAAAAAAATACCCTGTAAATATGGAAAGCCTCTACATAACAGTTGCACTAACTTCTGTACCTGTTGTAAAACTACCAAGAAGCTGAAAACGAAATAACCCTTTGGTTTCGGCAGCATACGTGCATATAGAAACGTTTTATTTTGCATAGATGTATGTATGAGCGTGGATGAACGTAATAATACACACATGTATAGTTTTCCTGTGCACTGCGTATGTCAGTATACAATATACTTATGCGTGTGTAACGTACGCATGTACGCTTAAGTGTACTTGGAAGCCTTCGTTTTTTTTTTTTTTTTGTTACACAATGAAAAAAAATATAGCACCTTTTTGTACACTATAAATTATCTCCCTTTGTGCGTTACATGTATATGTAGTACACATTTATGTGCACACCTGTTCATTCGTCACATGCCCACTTTACATTTCAAACAAGGGGGTGTAACTCCCTCTACACCCAGAACACGCTACCCACACAACCAGATCTTCCACAGTTTTGTTACACAATTGTATGATTTTTGCTCATCTACGATAAAATTAACGACCTTAGCAATTTTTTTTTTATTTCATTATTTTATTTTTATCTCAATTGTACACTTTTTACGTTATTATTTTTTTTTTTTTTTGCCACTTTGTTTTTTAAGCCCTTCAACAGAGTGTATTCTCATTTTTAGAGGCACACAGATGTAACAAGTGCCACAAGGAAAAAAACAGAAACAAAAAAAAAAAAAAAAAGTCCATTGTAGGAAAAATAAACGTTTCTGGCAAAGGTACCCTGACAATGCTGGGGATTATTATATGCATACAACACATTTGTATGAAGTATATATATATATATATTTTTTTTTTAATAAAAAATACGCGTTGTATGGGCAATCTGTGGAATACATATTCTTATACAACTTTGCAAAGATTTGTTCCCTTTGTGTGTACACGCCCTGATGTTGCTATAAGGGAGCACGTCAGAATATAAAAAAAGCCAAACAGGGGACAGCCAACCGCGAACGTATACATATTTTGATCTTTCTTGAAAGAAGTTTCAACTAAATTTCTGTATTGTTCGTGCACATCATTTTATTGGACAACCCTCGCACGTTTATTTTGTACACCGTTTACTTTGCGGCGTTCTCGGGAGGGCCTCTCCCTGCGGATGCTTTTGCTTAGTGCGACCTGAAAAAGCAATTTTCCTCTGCGTGCGAGTTAACGTGTCTACGTGGCTGCAGAGAGCACAAAAGGGAAACACGAAATTTTGATCGAACAGTATTATGCCCGTAAAGGAGTAACCGACAATACGTGCATATGTGCAGCCCTACACAGGCTCACCCACTGATGAGTTTGAAGTCACATGTTTAGTGTAGTCTGAACAGCGTGATCCATATAGACAACGACATATATATTGAAATTAAGGAGCATAATACATATTTTCCAATTACGTATATAAAGATTAAAAAAAAAAAAAGTGATCCTCAGTTTTATACCGTACACGTGCAAATTAATTTGTCATCCTAAAACTTTTAGGAGAAGTAGCTCCCCAGAACAAGCCTGACGCACATCTGTTTGTCAGCTGCATTTGTATTTACACAACCATTCTACGTGTTTAGGAGCTTCCGTATATGTACACATATATAACATATATAGATACCCACGTGCACAATCCCATTTTAACGACATCACTTGAAAGGAGCGACAAAGGTGCAGTTGTATTACGAAGAGAGAGAAGCACTGCTTGCTCGTATCCAATTTTTGTGTCTCTAACCCTTTGGGCATCAATTTTTGTAACGCCTCCTCCCCCGTGTAAGCGTAGCATCGCACATATGAGCCCCTTTTCATTTCGCGCATTTGAATTTTATTTTCGAATCGCGCAGAAATAACTAGGGGAACATCCCCCTCCCCAAGAGAGAAACTTCCTCTTTTTTGTGATACTAACACGAGGTAGCCACTACGTTTTGCGGACATTGATATGTGTGTATGTTTGCACGCACATACGTATGTGTAGACACTTCGGGCGTCATTTTTTGTCATGCCTGAAAGAAGGCACCGCTTGCAATTAGTTGTATCGTGCGCGTGCATACGTGTGTGCATTTTTTTTTTTTTTTTCCCCTTCTTCATTTTGCAGGAGGTACGCTCCTTTCGATTAATTCTGTTGCTTGTTTTCTCTATTTATGTGCTATAGGCGAACGTTGCGGTTTTAATCGCTATCGCGCAACAACAAGCAGTGAGAACACAAGAAGGGGAAAAGGGACACGTATATTAATGTATGTATTAGTATTTGTATGAGTATCTGGGCGTATTTATATGTATGTAAGTATATGTATGTAAGTATATGTATGTATTGTTGGAGGCACACACATGTATATCTGCCAGCACAATAGTAGAGTATTAGTACACATATTTCGCGTTCATTTTTTTTTTTTTTTTTTTTCGCTTCAATGTTAATCCCCAGCTTTATACACAGCGTTAACTGTAAGCCTTTTGAGGATTCGCCTGTGTGAGCATTTTTGTCCCGTCTACCCATTCTCGTATGCATGTGAGCATACATATAGGCGTATATAAATATGTGTAAACATACATACATACATACATATATATATATACATAAAGTAACCGTGTGTACACAGCGCATATCTGATCTGTAGCACCGTTCCGCAACCAATGCAAGGGCATTTTTCATGCCAGCACACACACGCATACACAAGCCTTGCGAGCACCTTGCCTACACGCACACAATCCTGCGCCAGCGTGCCGCTGCTCATTTTTGAGCCTAAACCAGGTGAAGCGGTTTTTACTCAAAAGAGAACGTCATGGCTGAGGAGACCTTGGACACATATAGCAATCCCAATATGGCGCAGACAGACAAAACACATGATCAAAAAGGTAAGTGCAAAATGGTGAAGCAAGAAGAATCAAATGCAGTTAAAGACCCCCGCTTGTGCACTGAAAACAAAGCGGGCTGTGTTTCCCCAAGCAAGCAACGTAATGGGCTTGTGAAGAATAAAAAAAAAACGCACTTGAAAAAAATTGATAAAGATGCAAATGAAGGTAAGGACGATTTGGGAAAAATCTGCCATGAAGAAATGGAAGAAATGGTTGGCGCAGAGTTTTCAGAAAGGGAGATACCCAGAGGGGAGGCGGATAGACGAGGTCTGAAGCTGAAGCATGAGGAGAAGAGCAAGAGAAAAAGAGAGAGACTAACAGATCCGCATGCCGATACACAGGGAGTCCCAAATGAAACCATCTCGGAACAAGACCAAGCGAACCTCTCAAATCAAAATCCCACCAGTTGCAGCACCCCTAGTAACGTAGACCAAACGACCAGCAGCATTTACGTAAAACCAGAACCGAAGAAAATATCTATCTCTTCAAAGGAGTATACTGCACGGGAAAAACAAAACGACGCACAGGATCAGGTGTGTTGCCACCATGATGAGAGGAAAGAAAATAGTGTCCTTACAAATAAAAAACTTTTAAAATGTAGAGGTAGAGGGAAAAATGACGTCGTAGAATGTAAACATCATGAGTATTACAGCGAAAGATATACAAGCCTTTCCGCTAACAACATTGAGAGGAAGAAACAAGGGAATGTAGACAGCGGAGAAAATAACCCTGCGTATGTTAATAGACCCTATTTGGAGCCAAGCTCCATCCACCAGAGGATTATCAAGAATAGCAACAGCCCCAGTTTTGATAAGTACTGTCCGTATGAAAAGAACTGTGCAGATCATGTAGACCTGAGGAACATGTACCACGCGAGTACAGGAACGAACAGTGTCGCTAATTGTGTTAACAGCAGTGCGAACAACTGCAATCGTTGTAGCAGCTATGGGTATGTGAACATTGTATCCCCCCCAAATGGATTAAGCAATCATCACCAGAAGAAGCAGCAGGTCGACGCCAATTCGAAGAAAGCACAAACGCACATTCCGTTTATTTCACCAAGTGGACAAGCTCAAAACGACCTACGTATGAACACTGCAAATGTGCAACACCATCATGTAGTGCCCCCTTATGTGCACCCCTTGGGTAACAAGGAACAAGGCATAAGAATTGCAACCTATACAAAGGATCGCTTCTACAAAAAAGGGAAAGAAAAGATACAAGACCAGTATTACAGAATAAAGCTGTGTCCATTTTTAAAAAAAGGGCTGTGTCAAAAAGGAGATAACTGCTCATATGCACACTCAACTGATACTTTAAGAAGTTGTATGAATTTAATGAAGACTAAAATTTGCCAGTTGTGGTTGAAAAATGAATGCAGGAACCCTAATTGTGTATATGCTCATGGAGAGGCAGAATTGAGGGCAACACCAGATTACTTTAAAACAAAGCTGTGTAAATATTTTGACAAGGAAGGTACATGTCCATCTGGAGACAAATGTAGACATGCACATGGGCAGGCAGAACTCAGACAAAGAAACTACAGGAAAACGGAATTTGAAAAATGCACTCCAAAAAGTAACGTCAGTCCAAAATTCACATTGCATGATTTGAAGAATAAGGGGGAATTTCCACACCACATTTTGCACATGCTCAGTGGAAAAAGCAGAAAGGAGAATGTCGACAGGAGTGAGTGGAATAATTGGAATAAAACGAACGGTCACAATGAATTCAGTAACGCCTTCAGCAGCGGAAGCAGGTACCATAGGGACACTCGTGTGGCCACACATACTGGTCAAAACTCAAATGAACAAACGACATCTGGACATAAGAGAAGTACACTTGCTGACCAAATGTGCACAACAGAAAAAAGAGAAAGTGCGAACGAAATTAACCAGGTCTACCATGTCAGTGCTGCTCACAGTTGTACAAAACAGGAAAAGGTAATTCATACCTTGTCGACCTTTTGCGAGAGGAAGGAAAAGACAGATGGGGCAAGGAGCAGCAATCGTAGCAGTGCAAACGTGGGCGATGTTAATTATTCCAATCAGAGGGAACATCCAAAGAAGGAACAAATTTTCAACACAGAAGAGAGAGAAGAGGAAGACAAGGAGAATGCATCCCATGAGGACACACCAAGTTTACTTCACGCAGTTTCGGCCACGACCAGTAGTATCAGCGTGGAGCGTGACGGAAATGCGAAAAAGGAACAGAGGGACGATGTAATGGAAGGAGGCATGGGAAACGACACAGGAATCGGCGCAATAGAGGCGAGCAAAACAGAACAAAGAGCGGACAATCAAAAGGAAGGAAAAAGCAGCTCGCCGTGTGGTGAGCTCCTTTCCCAGAAGAATCAAAATTTGACTCACAGAACAGAATCCGTAGAAATGAAGAACGAACAAATCGAGTTGGGACAGAATGAGGAACAGCATCCTGTTGGAAAATCGTCGCATAGTGGTGATAGGAATAATGGTGATTACAAAATATTGAGGCACGTAGCGAATGGAGGGGAAAAGGAGGATACTTTCACTGAGGTTCTGGATCATAGCAGCGAGTACATGTCCAGTGGGCGAAGTAGCAGCCAATACATGTCAATTGGGAAAAGTAGCAGCGAAGTAGAGACCGAGTCGTTTGGGAACAGAAGTCCAAATATGTCCTATGGAAGGTGTAACCAGGACTACCAGGAAGAGAGTCGCGGGCAAGCGGAGGACAAAAGCAATGGTCAAATGGGGGGTGAAAGCCAAGGGGCTGCCCTGCTCGAAGTGGACATAGAAAGGGAAGACGGCAAAATGTATGAAAGAGTTGAGATGATAGGGAATGCCTCTGTAGGAGAATATCCGCAAGAAAGGCGACATAAGACACACCGCAGCTTTGAAGGGGATAAAAAGGAGAACGGAAATATGGACCGTGACGTAAATGGCGATGAGGATAGCGATAAGAATGCGAATGGCAAAGGAGGCAAGGGAAAACCGAGAGACCTCGATCAGGGACAAGAACGCCCAACGCTAAACGAAAACAGGTGTACCGGACCCACGAATGAAATGGATGATTGTTCGAACAAGGTGACCAGTGGAGAAAACATCATCCAGAGACGCTACGCAAATAATTTCCCAAGGGGAGGGGAAAGATATGGCTCATTTAGAAATTTCAAGAAAAGTGTAAATGACATACAGAGGAATTCCATTTTTATGCTGAAGAATCAGTGCAGAAAGGAGAATGACAGAAAGGACAACGACGGAAAGAAGAATATGCTCCTGAGCAAATTGGCTAGCTACCCCACGCAGAGCACATCTAACAACTACTGCCCAAAGAATTTTAATTACAAATATAAGAAGTTTAACATGGCAAATCGATACGCAAAGAATTTTGAGGGTTTGGACCACTACAGAAGCGTCGTGAACTATGGGGTCGACGGGAACATGGCATCTTATGCAAAGTGTGACAGAGGCTATTTGAACAAGGCTGAGGAACTAATCAATAACGAGTGCACGCAGAACGGAAGTGTGATCGGCGGTAATGGCAGCGGCAGCACCCCACAGGCAAGGCACAAAAAGGGGGACGCACCGGGAGAACACAACAAATTTACCGGCCACAACCAACTTGGAAATCACTACAAACGGGAAGAACAGATGACGAACGGTAGAGTAAAGACAAGAGGAGAAGACAAGAACTGCAATGACATCCCGCATAGGATTTTCGCCTTCAAAAATTCACATCGCTCATTTCACAACACGTACAGTATACCAGAACAGAATCCATCAAATCAAAATTTTGAAAACGCAGAAAGATGTTCCCATACAAACCACAACCACGCGAATAATTCACTCCACATGCAGAATGTTCTACCCAGACCTAAAGAAACTTACAGAAACGCTTGCAACAGTGGTATTCATAGAACAAAGCAAAACTATGATAAGAGTAACGGAACTACAAGTAACGATGTGATGTATGGCCCCCCTGTATATCCCTTGAACACGCTGGTGAACAACTTTAGTTATTACAACTATAACGTAAGTAATGTTTACTCGAACCGAAACAACTGCTATAGTTATTTGAATGTGGAACTGAACAGCGTGAATATGGCCAGCCAGACGCGCGTTGTGCCCGCGGAGTTGTCCATTTCAGTGCAAGGTGGACGGACAACAGAGGAAGCCTATGGAGCAGAAACCGGGCATGCATATAGAAGGACAATCGGGGCACCGAACCTAGCGACGAACACGAATGACGCGTTCAACACGACTGACGGTCCCAACATCCGAAACAACCGAGCAAACTACTCCACGAGCGCAGAGGGTGCGAACGGCCAGTCCGTGTTCGGTCCCGTGCCACACCTAACCCTACGATCGACCAATCCACCACATAACAGATCGGCCAAATCGCATTCATGCTCGAACCAGCACAGAAAACAAATTTTGAATGTCCAAAATATGGGAAGCAACACGGCTAATATGCACACCTGTGGAAACCAATATGTTAACGTGCAAGGGAACAATATCAGGCAGGAGAGAAAATGCACCTTAGCTAATGTCGCAGTGGGTAGTAGCCACCACAGAAGCTCTGTCACACCGTCTAATACGGATGATAACTTCGTGCAGAATGGGAACAGTGGATCTTGGTCCGTATCGAACATGGCACACAAGGACAGATCGGATGCACCTGTTGGTTCGTTTAGCAGAAACAACAACAGTGGGCATGGCGTTAGTGACGAGAAAGACCTTAGTGGCAATAACAGCGGTTGGGGGCCAGTGGGCGGTAGCGGCTCTCACGGGGAAAATCAAAACCTGCACGAAACGCAAGTTTCCCAAAACGACGGCAGGGAAAACAGAAAAAGAATCCCCCACCTGCCCTACAACACACACAAAAATTATGAAAGGAGAACCAACAATGCTCATTTTAAAAACTATAGGAATTATAACAACCATATTTATACGAATCAAGTGTGTACCAACCAGGTTTACAGCCACCACATTTATGCGAACCATCAGGCATATGGCTCCACTCAGGGGTACTATAGCAACCAGGTGTACACATACCAGCACCCGTATAGCAACTGCATATGCTGTAATGGCGGTGGTGCGTGTAGCAATAGCCACCCCTACAACAGCAGCAGCAGCGCGTATGTTATTTACCCCTATAGTAGCTATCCTTACAGCATCAGCTACCACCATAGCAGCAACTACCCTTATGATGGTCTATGCACCTATGATGGTGAATATCCCTATAGTGGTGCATTTCCCTGTGACGCTGTGCAACCCTATAACGGCAACCCCCATTGTGACAGTGTCCAGCCGTATACCGCGGCCCCCCATTATAGCGGCAACTATTACTATGGTGATGTGCAACAGTTTAACGCTGGCCAATTGTATGGATGTGGCCAAATGTATAGCGGCGGACAGGTGTATATCGGCGCCGAACAGTATGGTGATGCCGATCAATCTGGTGATGTCCAACCGTGTGGCGGAGACTATCATTATAACGGTAACCAAAGTGGTGTACACAACGGGAGCTACACTAATGATCAAAGCTACGCACACAATCAGTACCCCTATAACGGCATAATGAATTATGGCCCGCTTTACAACAGCAACGATACGGAGCAAGGGCAGAACGGTCACTGTGCACCCCCCAAGGGTAGCATATTGGGCAGCGGGAAGTACCAAAATTGGCCTAACGAAGATGGAAACAATGCAAATGGCAGGTGCCAGGGTGAATCTGCATTTGATGATCTTACAAAAAATGCATCAACAGAAGAAGGAGAAGAGGTAGAGGGAGATGAAGCAGATCATCAAAGCCCTTTACATTCTCCTGCAGAATTGCAGCAGTGAAAAATAGGGAATTAAAGTTTATTTTTTCCTCCAAAATTATACATCCTGTGCAGGGTCATTCTCGCAGCACGGGCGAGGCATATGGATAATGCACATAGGTTACAACCGTACGTGTGAGACGAGTATATCCCCGTTTTGCTCGTGTCGATTGTCCTCACCTTACCATGCTTCAAAAAAAATGTAAATTAAATTGGGAAGAATGTCCACACATGCAGTGTGCAAATAAAAAAAAAACCACAAAAAAAATGCTGCAGTCTTGTACATTATTTGTAACGTTCATTTTCTAATTAAGTTCGTTTTTGTTCCGTCCGTTTTGTAGGACCTTTTGATAAGACGCGCTCGTAACTTGATAATCATTTTTGCAAAGGAGTTTTTTTCCCCTTCCCCCGTATGGGAACTTTCTTTTTGTGTGCGTGTTTATTTTATCATTCCCCGTTTTGTATTATTCATATGAAGGCCCTGTTGCTGATACGCCCAATGCGATGTGGACATTTTTTTGTGGATGCCTCCCAGCCCGTTGTGCCCATAAAATCCAGCTATATAGCTCTTGTATCGACGGCACATCAACACAACCGTAAGGTACGCCGGGCAGGCTCGCCTTTACACGCACGTAGCGTTTAACACCACATTGATGTTGACATTCATGTTTAGCTGGGCATCACTGCCGCGATTTGCCCACCCATGAAATATCAATGAAAAAAAGAAAAATTGGCCAAATAATTCTTAAAAGTCAAAATAAATTTTACAAAAAAAAAATAAAATAAAAATGGATAGGGGAAAAATGTCCCACGTGCAAAAGACCACAACGGTGTTTTTTTTTTTTTTTTAAAAAAACATGGGATTATTAAGACAGCAAATAAAATGCAAAACATTTAACAAAAAGGGGCAATTTTAAGACAAATCATTTAATAAATCTTTTAAATGCTTACACACACAAAAAAAAGAAGAAATATAAAAAAATTAAATAAAATGGATAAATTAAAAGGGGCGATTTTCACACATGCAGTCATCAATTCTGCAGACAACTGGAAAAAGGGGCACACTAATATGGGTATTAACAAGTGATGAAGAAGTGGGTGCGCATGTCCACCCTCCTATTTCGCCCGCAGCACTTCCCTTATTGCCTTATTCAAATAATGGTACTTTACGTCATCCTCGCTATTTAATTTACTTATTTCGAGATGGTTGCAGTCCTTGATTATTGTAAACATTTTGGAGTAGTTCAAATAGGAGCTCACGCTTGGGACGATCATTGTGTGCACACCTGCAGGGAGGGCGAGGAAAATGACCACGCGTGTGTACCTGAAGAGTCACATTTTTTTTTTTTTTTTTTTTTTTTTTTGTGGGGTACGGGGTTGTTACCCAACCCTATGGGTGTGCAAAGCTTCATAGATGGAGGTGCTGTACACCCCCCCCCATTTACATTTTCATACCTATAAATGGCAAAGGAGTTTTCTCCGACTCCGAGAAGGAATAAACCTTGACGGTTGAGTTCTTTATCCTTTCCCTAAAGGAATACTGCAAGTTGCTCAGAGTGGAATCGTAGTCATTGAGCTCATAAACATAGGGCGATAAAAATGTTTTGAACAAAAAAGCCGTCGAGGAAAGGGGAGAGCCAAAATGGGGAGAAGCGTAAAAAAACACATATTTGGTCTTGCTGAAAATATCATCATTTTTTAGCAACACGTACTGTGTTAATAACCCTCCCATGGAATGAGCCACAAATATAATGTCATTATGCCTTCCTATGTTTATGCCTTTTAATTTTTTCAAAAGAAATATGGACAACTCCTCTATATTCATTCTGTCTGTGTAAAAATATTTTTTTTTGTTAAAATATTGTTCGTGGTTTTCATCCTTTTTCGTAAATAGGTAATTAAGCGAGCTGAGATGGTAAAACGTGTACCCTTGATTATCCTGCTCCTTATCTTCTCCGTTAATCGAGCTGTTGAGAAGTCCCACTCGGTTCCTCTCTTCTTCTTTTTCGGTGTAGCTTTCCTCATTTGTTCCTACACTACTTCCCTCTCCGCCTTCTACGGCCATTCCCTCCTCGCTGTTTTCCCTTTTCTCCATTTTTTCTCGCTGCGCCCAGTCCCCCTTCGCGTTCTGGCGACCCCGTTTGACGTAGTAGCTCCCATCAGGGTACAACGGCGTGTGATAGTTAAAAATGAAAATATTCGAGCGCTTACTTCGAGGGTACAACAAATAAACGGGCCACAACAAATAGGACAGCAAATCGCTGTAAAAGTCCAGATCATTTTTTAATTTCTTATTTTTCAAAAAAATGGACTTAAAAATATTTTTGTCAACAATTCGGGTGTCCGAATAAATGGGAAAGACGTTTTGATTATACTTATAATTTAACAACATCATGTGAATTAAATCCTCGTTAGCCACAACGCGAAAATTATATCGTATTTTTATGCACTCCCTTATTTCCTTACTTGATTCGTCAAAAACAAAGACGTTTTGATTTTCTTTGTATTTGTCCGTGTTGCTATTTATGGCGCTAAAAAGTTCGTCCTCCTCTTCCTTTGGTTCATTTTTTTCTAAGGATGATTGGCTGTAATCTTTGTCTTCCCTTTTTCCGTTTATATCGAGGAACGACCACACATAATTTTTTCTCTCATCTGTGCTATGATCGCTTTCATTCTCACTGTCACCACCGTGCGTCTGTGTATTCGTAACGACCTTCTCGTACTTCTTCAAATTATTATTTCGGTAATAGAAGCGATAACTGGGGCTGTTATGGTACAAATTGGAGAACCTCCATGTTCGTAGGGCGTTTCCCCTCAGCCCGTGCACCATCACTATATCCACCTTCTTCTTTTTCCTTTTCCGTGATGGCTTCTCCGCTACATTCGCTTCCATCGTGTGGTTCTCCATTTTTTTTCTCTTCCATCGTTGTGCCTCTCCAAGGGGATTTTCCTTTTTCTTGTCTATGTGGCACATTTTGGAATACGCATAGATTGGCAAGAATCGATCATGCAAATTATAAAAATGATGATTGTAGCTGCTAATCATGTACATATGCTCATCTAGTAGCATTTTTTTTTTTTTTTTTTTCTTCGCCATATAGTAAGTTTGGTGAGTCGGGCATTCACATAGGAATTCATTCGAATTTAGTTTCTGCTTGAGTGTGGTGTCCTTCAGCAGATTATCCACGTTATCCAAAAACAAATCGAACGGGTTGCGCCACGGTTGAGGGATTATTCCCCTCTCCCCGCGTACTGTGTCTTCTTTCTTTCTTTTATTTTTCACTCTTTGGTGTTCCTTCTGGGGGATTCCCTCATCACTTCTTTGTTCATCTCCATCGCTGTGTGTGTCTCCACCGATGTGAACATGTTCCTCTGTGTCACCGGTCAAACTGGACAGGAGAATTGGGCGCTCCTTCCTAATCTTGACCTCTTCCTTCTCCGCTTCCTTTCTTGTGAACCTAAGGAAATACCTATAGTGCGATTTGATGTTGGTAAATGCTCTTATGCTGTCAAAGTACACCGAACTTGGAATTAGCTCCCTTTTCAAATTTACAAGCGAGAGAAAATTCATACTATCGTTGAAAAAAAAAAACTCCGCACTAATAAAGTAGGTAAAATTAAAAGATATCCTCACGACATTATCTAATATATTTTTGTACATAAAATATAAGACAGAAAAAGAATTGAAGCAAAGATCTTTGGAGGCGAAAGTGTTTGCAATGATTTTGAAGCATAGTGACAGCTCTTTATGGATGTGTTTATTCTTCTTTTTTGTCCGGCTCTTCGATTTTCTTTTAGCTTCTGGTTTGACGGATTCGTCCTCCGCTTTGTTGGTCAGCGGGGAGTACAGGGCGGACAGATTAAGGCTTGGGAGGTACATGGTTGGAAGGCTCACCGAAGAAGGGCTATCAGGCTTCTCACCCTCTTTTGTCGCTGTCTTCCCATCCGTTTTCGCTTCATTGGGAGCTCCCATCGGCGTCGCTGGGGCCGCATCTCCACTGACATTTTCGCGATGCTCGGCTGGGTAGTCACTCTTGTCGGCATTTTCGCTAATCCACGGCGAGGTCGCCAACTTCGAATCGTAATGAAAAAACTTATTTTTAAAATTATTGTTTGAGTACAAATTTATGAGGAAGAGAAAATCTATATTTAGCGAGTTCAGCCTGTTGAGACACATATTCCTGATGATAATGTGGAGCCCTGAGTCGACGTAGGCAGATGGGTCCCTCCCGATGTTGAGCAGATCATTTATCTTCTTCAGCAATGTCTCTATGTTTAAGTTATTTTTATTTTGTAATTTGTTGTCTCTGTTGATGATGTTAAATAGGATGTTCTCTTCGCTGTCAGCATTTTTTTCATTTTTTGATTTTTTTTTGCTTTCACTTTGTGAGGGGTATTCCATATCCTTTGCGCTTCCTACGTACTTCAATTTAAATTTCTTTTCAAGGCAATTAACTATTTCACTTAGTCCATTTTCGACAATGCTGTTGTTCGCTTTACTGCTAGACGGAGGCATCTCCTCATTTAACGTCACATAATCAATTGCTTGGTACAACAGTTCCGTTAAAACTAATTTATTTTTTTGGCTCTTCTTTGTGTTGTGAATATTTGTTAATAATAAATTTGTTGGTACTTTTCTTCTTTTATTTTTTTCCTTTTCCGATGTGAAAAAATGCGTGTCGTTTTTCTTTCCCGCCTTGGCATTTTCGTTACTGTTGCTTGGCACACCCTTATTGCATTTCATTTGGGTGTAATTATCTCCTTCCTGTTTACTATTCAGTTTAAAAAGAAGCCGCAAACATAGCATCAAATAATTGTTCACCGATTCACTCATCACGTGAGGCTTCCCTTTCATGACACACTCATGAGAACTCAATTGTAAAATTTTCAGTTTGTCCATGTTGGTGATAAAATGCACATTTAGCATATCATTAAATTTGAAGAACAAATGTGTATTCTCCTTTAAGGAGTCAAAATTTATGGAATAGTTGTTTTTTAAAAAATGGACATACTTTTTGTTGTTGAAATAATCTGTCGTTTTTTTATCTTTATCTTTTTCAATACTGTTGTGGATCCCTGTGTAGATTCCATACCTCTTCATATTGTACATGGAGCTGTCTTTCATAGAGTCGTACTTTTTATGAACCAGTGCCATCTCATTCGTGTCTCCAAATGAGTACTTAAAAATTCTGCCTCCGGGGAACAACACCAACTTCCTCGTGTTATTGTACACGTAGAGGTAGTAGTAAAGGAGGAGGTAGTAGAAATAATAGCTGTAGTTATGTCTAAGATCTTTCTTCCTAATGTCATTTTTTATGTCCATCACGTAATTCAATTTTGTTAAAAAGAGAATTGCAAAGGAGTCGTCCACCATATCGCACCCCTCCATGTTCAAAAATAAGTTTCGCAACAAGTAGCAGCTGGTTTTTAAAATTATCGCATCTCGGTCGTTTTCAAGGGGGGGTTCGTCCTCCCCTTGGTCAGCGACATCCTTCACATCACTAGGCTCACCATCCCTCGGGACGCTCGCCTCCCCATCACGTGTGGCCAAAAACTCCCGACTCAAAATGAGCAGCAGCGTGTGAACATCGCGCGCACTCAAAATGCTGGCACATTTTTCCGTCCTAGATAGTCTGCACAAAAAATTTAAAGACAAGTCGCTCAGAAATTGTTGCTCAGTATAGGTCTTAACAATGTCATTAAAAAGCAATTTTATTTGAGAGTATTTGTTTTTTTTGATCAAGTATAGAAATGGCTGCTCCTTTTTGTAGATATCCTGAATTTTTTTTTTTTTTTTTTTCCTCTTTGTGTCATCCTCTATTCTTAATAGCAACGGAAGTGTCGTCACATTTTTCTTACCCTTTTTTATGCCCTTTAATTTTTTTTGGTCCTGTTTACTGTCTCCAAAGTTTAGCTTCGATAATAAATTAACTGAAGCGAAACTTATTTTGTCCCAAAACTTGTCATACATATTTTGCTTCGCTCGCTCTTCTGCTGTTGCCTTCCTTTCATGTTCGTTAAGGTGTGCGCGTGCGTGTACGTAGGTGTAGATGTGCTCACATGCTCACTTTTATTTATTTGCATCGCATGAGAGTTCAATCCCCCCCACCCCTTCATATGATGTGTCTCTGAAGGGGGGCGTACGGTCAGCCGCGTCTCCTTTTTTACAAAATTGCGGTTCAATCGATGGGCCATGTGTGACAAGTGGCGAATCTGCTTATCCGTAATGTGAATGTGTAGTGATCTGTGCGGTGCAGCGAAGCAAAATGCTCCACGGGAAGACAATTAAGCATTGTAAACCACCAAACGGGATTCACAACACGAATAAAAGGGGGAAGTTTACAAGCACGCACTGAAGCACACACAGAACAACAGGTAGGCTTTTACTACGCTACAGAATACGAAACATAAATACCCACGACCGGGCAATGGTTATGGGCAGGCAAACAAATTTGTTAAGTTCCTTTATGTTCACCATGCCTGTTAAAAGGACGTGGTTCAAAGGCGCACCCCAAGCATTACAGGTGTTTCACCATTTTGTTGGCCTAAATTCCTACGACTTGGACTTCCTCTGAGGGATGACAGGTATAGTCTGTAGGGGCTTCGAACTGCGATCAGATGGTGTGCATGAAGGCACATGACAAGTCCTCCTTTGCATGAGCATAAGCTTACATACGCACTTCTAATCACGCCATAAGTATCTTCTGTGCCGTTTCGACAGGCTATGAAGGTTCCTTTACAACGGCCAAGGCGACCTTAAGATGCGCTATGAAGATACAAACACGGGCACGTCAAAAAATAAAATAAAATAAAATAGAAGAAAAATGATAACTGTGCCATACGTCGACACAACTCTCACTATCGATTCGCAAATGACAGTACGCGCATGGTCATCCTTAGAAACGCAGAAACATGAAAAAATGCTCGCGCACGTAGGATGCATAATTTAAACGTAAAGGTAGCAAAATAAAATCCCATGCACGACTTAGTCGAGGAGCAAATGTATGTGTCAATTTCTTAGCTCCACACTTTTCATTTTATTTAACAAATTGTCACAAAAATGAAATGGTGTGGGGACATTTGAAAAGAGTAATCCAAGATACTGCTCATGCTGCTTTCTAAATTTGTCCCCAAACAAACGAGCAACTTCTTTTTGTTTTTTGTTTTTGTTTTTTTTTTTTTTTAATCACTCCGCTTTCCAAAGTCACAAAGGATTCATATATATATGTATATTAAAAGATTTCTCCGTCGTGACCATGTAATGTGTATAAGTCGAATGTGGCTTTATGCGGCATAATTTGCAGTAAATACGACGACGCATTTTTTTTTTTATTTACTCTTTTCACATACATTTTTTTTTTTTCGTTTTGTTACCTTCATGTGTGTGTGTCACCTCTGCCATATTAATTGTATGAATCCTTTTTCATGGCTAGACGTTCCATTAAGTGGGTCTTCTTAACCTCACTGTCTTAATATACATACGGGCCACCGTCAGAGTTAATGAGCGCAGCAATTTTTTGCCCCACGTGGTCCACACATCCATGCTTGTTACGAACAAGAGGCAATATCATTTCGTGTTTTTCGGAAGGCACACCAAAAATGAGCCACCGCTTTTTTTTATAGGGGCCCCTTCAAATAAAAAAAAAAAAAAATCATACATTGAATAAAAGCAAAAAATGTCGTCTATCAAAAATGCAACGGGGGTCAGACACAATGCCTTTCGTTTGAAAGCACATAAAAGTGAGAACACATTGCTATGCGGCACTATGGAAGTTTTTTTAAAATGGGGAAAAGAAAACCATTTTGTGCGTTGCCACATAGGGGAAAATCGCTCCTTCCATATTGTGCATATAAATGTCCACGTATAATATGTATTTTTTGTACACATTTATCTGCTTTTCGCCCGCACCATATCTTGTAGAGCTGATATACAACCGAATGAGAAGATTCAATTGGCCCCCTCCGGAATGCTCGGCGATACACCCGGTAGGAGAAAATAATCCCATTCGAAGCCTTTCTTCATTCTTTTTGGCAAATTTTTAAATTTATTAATTTATTTTTTTTTTTTGGTTGGATCCACAGATTGAACCATATGGGAAACAATTTTTCATCTTCAACGCATTTAAGAGGGACCCCAATTTTGACACCGAAATGTCCAACACGGTCAAGCCACTGGTTAATTTGCCCAACATTTTTTTTGCTCATATGATTCTGATATCGTTCTGCTGATTATGGAGGGGGGGTTATTTGGGTCACCGTTATGTTTGCCGGGCAGTTCCCCACGTTTGTAATTTGACCCTGTATTACACACTTCCCCCCTCCTACCTTTCATTCCCCCTTCCCCCGTGTAGCTGAATGCCAATAATGAGAAAATTCCCTCAGAGACGGTCCTCTGTGTGTGTGATTTTGCCAAGAGGCCATTGATGTTCCTAAATTATCTGGACTTTAAAATATTGGTAATCACAGAAAAGGCAAAACACATATAACAGAGTGCATCACTGGGTAATACATTATGGCGCCAGAAATGCGATTAATGCAATGAGTGCGTTCTTTTATGTGTAACACACATGTGTACCAAGTAGAATGTGTCAACATTTTTTCCCCCTTGCAGCAAGCCAGCATGGATAAGATTAAGGAGGGATTTAGAAAAATGGAAGAAAAATTGGACAAGGTTCTGCCTTTTTATTTTATTATTATTATTTTACACTTCGATCTACGCATATGTACATGTTACCCATGTGCACATGTCTGGTGCAGTTGTACACACAGTGGCATTTCCTTTTGAGGAGACAACTGTACAAATTAAACAATCCTCGCACCTCACCGTTCTTACCCCCCGCAGACCAACTATTTGGATACCAAGTTTGGTTTAATGCTAAAATACAATTTAAACAAAACTTACGGCATGCAGCGAGTTAAGAAGGGGGAGCATAACTCGTGGGGAATGAAGAAGGGAGTGTTCCGAAGCAGGAAGACGTGAAGGATAGGCGCTTCCATGTGAGCTCCCTTTTGGAGTAACCAATTTGGGAAGAAACGGTGGGCAAAACGCACCAAATGGTGAAAAGTCGTCAAAGGGAATCATCCCCCACTTAACAGTGCGACGACGAAAATACGCAAATTAAAAAAATAATTAAACAATATAATTAGATCCTCCTTCTTTAGAAAACTTCTCCCTTCAATCCATATGCCCAATGTGTTCATTCAGTACCCACATGTGGTGCACCATTTTGTTTTTTTTTTCTCGTGGACTTCCAATCGCACGCTACATGTGCACATATGGTTGTAACTTCCTTTTACGGGAAACATAAAAAAGGGGTGCGAAAAAAGCGGTGTGAAAACGAAACATACTGCTGGTGACGCGACGCATCGAGCTGGTGGGACTGTTTATTTTGTCGCCCTGTCGCAAGTGCTGCTGGCCCGCTCCAGGTAGTACGTCAACCTGTTTAAGTTGATGTAGTGATAGTAACCGATGAGGTTGTTCAGCTTAATTCGTGTTCTGTACGTTTTCCCAGGCAGTGAGTTGTCATTCACGCATAGGTAGTTGTTCCCGTCGCAAATGAAGAGGCAGTCGAAGGGTCCCTTTTTCGTTGCATCGCTCTGTGCGCTCGGGTTGCGGTAGTAACCATCCGTAGGCGCTGCACCTTCGACTTCACCAACCAGTTTTAACTTCTTGCGCACTTTCAGGTTGAACTTTTGTATTAAAGAATTAATTAGGCTGAGGGGGTACACAGTGGGAGATATAACCGTGCCTTCCTCCAAGGAAACAAAAAAATATAACAACAGAATAGTTATTTTTATTTCTCTAAATGAGGATGCTTTACTTAATAATATGGACAGAATTTTTTTTAAAAGAATTTTCTTCAAGTATATAATATCTTGTTCTAAGTAGACGATGCTGAAATTGTCGTCATAGAGAATGCCATCATGTGGACTCCTTCCTCTTTTACTTTTCGTCCCCTTTGTAGTACTCCTGGTGCTAAGGGTGATTATCTGTTTGTTAATGAACACGTTGGTATTGATAAATGTCTTTTCAATTGCTATTAGGTGGTTTAAATTTATTCGATTTAAAAAATGGCTGTTGTTCTTATTGCTTAATATATGATTCATTTGTTTAACTTGTTCGTAGAAGGTATCCTTTGGCAGTGTTTGCGTTATGTCCGTTTTGTGTGAAATGTATGTATCTCTTGCGCTATTTAGTGAATCCCCCTGTTCATCATACAGGTTCTCCTTAGACATGGAGTTACTGTTTGGACTCTCTATTTGCAGCATCATTTGGTTGCTCTTGATAAGGGCCTTAACTGAGCAGCTTCCGTTTTCCTTTTCCGTATCCTTTTTTGGGCCCCAGAGGGGTTCCCGCCCTATACTTGAATTTTCCTCCCCCGTGCTGCCTAAATCGATGGCCATTTCGACGGTTGATTCCATTGTTGGTTTAATTCTCCGTTTCGCACACGTGTTTTTTTTTTTTTTTTTTTTCTGCATTTTTGTTTTTTTTAAGCTGCACGCGGGTGGACGAAAATGCAGTGACCCTTTTTTCTTGCTTCTCCGAAAAATTTCCATTTTTTGTAATTTTTTTCATCTTCTCTACACTGTCCCTTGCGCTTAGTGACCTTCTGGAGAAGCTCCCAACCCGCGAGGCTCCATTTCCATCGGAGGGGGATTCACCCAGGTATGCGTAACGCTTTTCAATACTACAGTTTTCCCTTCTGATGGACATGGTGGAAAAGGAGCCCACCAAGTTGCAATCTGGCCACAGTGGAACGGAACTGCTCGAAAAAGACCCCACAATGTTACAGTCTTCCCGTTGAATGGATGTACTGGAGTAAGCTTCACCCCCTCTGGAATCTTTATTCTTATTTTTGATTTGTCCAACTCTTTTCCTTGTTCTCATTTGCATCGTTTCATCTTCTAATTTGTTCACAATGCATACCGCGTTGCTGGAACTTACGATGCTTTCCTTTTTGTAGTTAATTTTATTTTCTCCGACGTTGTAATTAACCTGTACAGATTCTTCCACAGTGTTTACTATGTTAAAATGTTTTGCAGTTTCACTTCCGTGGCGACTGTTTGTGCTTTTAGAAGTGGGTTTAATTTTGTTCCTTTTTGAGGGGGAGACACTTGGTGATGCCCTCCCCTTTGCGGTAACTGGTCTGATTATTGTACTTTCATTTATCGCTTCACTTCGGGGATCTTTTTTTTTCCTTTTCAAATTTGTAGCTATCGCACTGCTGACCTTTTTCACGACTCCTTTCTTTTTCTTCATTTCTTCACATGTGCTCTTAACCCTTGGCAATATTTTACTCTTACTCGAATTAGGGTTCACCTTTCCATTTCGCAAAATTTTCTTATTTGTTATTTTTTTCAACTTGCTATCCTTCCCCTTGGAATTGTAATTTTCTTTATTTGGTGCTTCTTCCGTTTTAGTTTCCTCATCACATTTTGTACGGGCATACGAAGTACTGTCATTTTTTTTATCATCACTGGAGTGTGTCCATTTCGTATCCTTCACGTTACCGTTAAGTAATTTCTTCTCCTGCCTATAGTTCACAGAACTGTGGAGATAATCATCCACTGGGGAAGGTAAACACTCTCGACTTCTCCTTCCATCTTCCCTCCTAAAATTGTGCCGCATGACGGAGCATACAGGATGGTGGTTAACCTTTTCTGGCCTCTTCTCCGCTATCAAATCCGAACTGTTAGAACCATTCTCGCAGTTGTATTCATCCTCAAAGGAATTGTTTTCCACATTAGGGTTTTGGTTAGTCCATAAGGGTTCTTCCCCCTCATAGGTTAAATAAACCGATGGAGTGTCCCCGTTCCCATCACAACTAACAACCTTTTCAGTGCTACTCTGATGCACGCTTTTGTCTTTCCTTTCGGGAGCCTCCTCATTTGTGATATTCACATAGGGGTCCTTATCCAAAGTAACAGCTTCACCATTTTCATGCTCCACCTCAAACACACTGTTGTCCCCGTCCTGCTCCAGACTAACAGCATAAAGCTCAATATCATCATCGTTACTTGAATGGATAAGTGAGGGGTGGTCCACCCTCTCCTGTCCCTCAAACATGGGGCCCTCAATTGGGTAATTCTCATGAATGGTGTCATTCGATGAGCTGCTTCTAAAAAAAGTTTGCTTGTTCTCCCTTAATTGGCAGCTACCCCGGGGTGCACTACCACCAACATTAATACTCCTATAGCGATCAATTAAGGGGGGTTCTATCCCATCGTGCGCTAAATTTTTTTTATCGGAGGAGCAGCTGCTACCACTGCTACTGGCGTCACGCAGATGTGCATCGTCTACTCTGTGGCTGTGTATATATTTATGGCCTCCTCCCAGGTTGTTGTCATTTTTGTTTCCATTTACAAATCCATTTGCTTCCCCATTTTGTACGTAGCACTCTTCATATATGTCCAACACGTCCAGGTGGGCAGAAGAAGACCGCGCTGTGTTTAAACTCTTTGCCCGTTTGATCACCCCACCGTTGTTGTCCTCATTTAGCATGTTTGCATGTATGGCCCCATGCCCTTGGCTTTTTGAGAGGCACACAGAAGCCTTCGATTTGGATGAATAGCTCTGTAGTCTTCGCAATTTTTCATTTTTTAATCTCTCCATCGGGGTGTAGAAGTTGCTACTCATGTAGCCGTTTCTGCTGTCATTTGGTCTCCCCTCTCCATATGGCATACAATGAAAAGGGGTACAATTTCTCATATTTTTGTTTGACACCTGTTTGCTATTCTGTGCATAGGGGCCACTCCTGCTAACCTGTTTGGCCTGTCCCATATTTGTGCCGATTTCACTCCAGTTATTGGCAACCCCTTTACTTGAAAAGAAACCTTCTACATTAGTTGGGTTCCCTTGGGGGTACGTAATGAGGTTTCCATTTTTTGCTAAGCTATTTGCGGCATTATTTGTGCCGCACATTTGGTTCACCCGCTGGTGTGATTTTCCGTCGACCTCGGGACAGTACGTGTTGCAGTTGTGCAATGTGTGCATCTGGGGGGTTGCTACGGGGATTTGCGCGCCTGTTGCCACAGGGGTCATCATAGGAGTTATCTCAGGGGGGGCTCCTGCGTATCCACGTGGTTGTCCATCCTTGTGCACGCCATTTTGATACCCATGAAATGTACTCGACTTTTTCATGATGCCACTTTGCTGCCCCCCGACTGGGGAGACGCTATACCCTTGGTTCTCTTTACAAAAGGTGTAGCTTCTTCCAGTAAATTTACTAGCCAGGCATTCGTGGCGGGGGTAGTAACTTCCCCTCACAATATTTTGATCCAGAAAGGTGCACATATTTTTAATGGGCCCATTATAACAATTTGCAATAGCACTCATGCTGAGGAAGTTGCCATTGCCTCTTCCCCTGAAAGTGGGTTCCCTTCTGTTCTCCTTCAAATGAAACGTATTAAAATGTGTGTTATACAAATTAGCCTTATTTAGATAACCATGGTGGGTATCCTTGACGCTCAAATTAGAGGCTTCATTTTGAATATGTTCAAAGGGTGACGCATTTTGTTTATTCATGGACTTGCTTCTATTTAGAGGACACATATATATTCCGCTGCCATCCATTTGGTTATTCATGGGAATGTGCCTACTTTGCATGGAGGAGCTCACTCCTGTGTTGCTGTCCACATTTCGAGTGAACGAGCGGTGCACCATGTTCATGCTTCCATCTGTGTTTGGATGAGCTTTGTATTGCATACCGCATGCATATAAGCCGTCATATATATCATACAACGCTCTGTACGTTTTTTGCAATTCGCTAGTGTAGTTTCTCCCCCCCTGGGGGGGCAGAAAACTAATGTTATTGTTCCGAAGGTTTGGTTCATCTGTTTCTTCTTTGGGCTGAACAAATAAATTATATAACGGGTCGATAAGGTACTTATTGATTATATTGTCTTTTTTTCCTCCTTCGACTTCCTCGTGTGTTGTGCCATTTTGGTTTTTTTTTTTTTTTTTTTTCTCCTTTGGCATTTTCGTTGCTGCGCTTCTGCTGAGACTTCCCCAAAGAATGGGTATCCCCTCTTGGTACACTCTCTTGAGATTTTCCTCCCCAATAATGCCCCCTACTAGCCTTTGGACTGCTAAACTTTTTATGTGCATCGTTAACAAATTCATTGTTACAAGTCTGCTGATTCGTAACGTTCTCACATATGATTTGCTGGCGAATGGGGTGCAAATTTGTTCTTCCACTTCTGCTTACATTTACAGATTTGCTTTCATACGCACGAGAATTGACTTCATCGTATGACGACACCTTAGCCGTGTTGGCACGTCTTGAAGGAACCCCCCCTGTCCCATTCTCATCTTGGTCAAAAAAAATTCCATTATTGTTATACATTAGCTTTATTATGATTTCCTTCTGTTCCAGATTTTCTTCCATATTGCTGGGAATACGTTCTAATGTGTTCTTCCCTTGTGAGAGTTGATCAGAGTTGTGCACATTCGATATAGAGCACCCCTTGTGTATGTCTTCATTCGTCGTGTTTTTATCATACTGAGTGGTAGTTATTATTTCTTTGCTTATTAATTTTCCCCCCTCTTGGGTAGTTGTTGCCTCCGTTCTGGTATAGGCCTTTAAATTGGCACCCCCCCTATTGTTACTATACTGCATGTAATTATTTATCGTCCTCAGGTTATCGTTTATGTTTGACTGTACGTTTCGCACCAGTTCCATGTTAGCTCTTGAGAAGGAGAAGTCACCTGTTCTTTTTGGCTCCCCCTGGGTGTGGAATAAGCTGCGATCCATATGGGGGTCACGCTTTTGGCCACCACTGCGTCCGTCGCGTTCGTCCTGTTGACCTCCTGCACCAACGTTTCGTGCATTTTTCCCCTCACTAGTTACACTTTCCGCCCTGTTGGATTCAGCCAAATAGGCCTCATCTTGCCCCTTTTCCTCGTACGCGTATTCGTTAAAATCTATCACATTCCTGTTGGAGTTGAGTCCCTGTTGCTCGTGGATGTTCCCTCGGACACTTCTCAGCCCATCACTTACAACACCCTCGTCCCATACTTCTACGTCCGAGCTCCTATCGAAGACGTACTTTCTTTCCACCTGTTGTGCCCTACCCGACTTGCCCATTTGATCCACTGAGTCGTCTTCATCAATTTTCAATTTGTTGCTTTTCATTTTAAAATTTGTTAATAGGGAGTTTGCATCACAGGAAGAAGACTCTCTCTCGTCTGCATAATGAATAATTTCACTACTGCAGTTAACCTTTTTATGGATTAGCTTTCCTTTATCTGCTTTTTTTTTCCCATTAAAATAAATGCTATTTCGCAGTATTTGAGCCTTGTGCTTCAAGCTGCTTATTTCATCCTTTATGTTATAACTTTTGTTCTGCTTCAAATTAGTGTACATTTTTGTGTAGTCCACATAGCCGCTACTTCCCTTTTTGTTGAAGTTGCTCGTTTCTTCCTCCCTGTCTTCATCTTTAGCTGATGCAGAGCTTGTGTTATGACCAGCGTGAAATGTACTGGTGGCATTTTTTTTTTTGTAATTTTTAAATTTTTGCAATATATTAATTTTTTGGAAAAAGCTTTCTCTTTTTTTTTTTAAATGAGAATTCTTCATCATTTGACATTCGTTGTAATTTTGTGTGTATTGGCTACGTGCTGTATTTGCGGCGTTGTCTTTGCATTTTGCCTTTCTACTTTCTGTTGCTGATTCTTCGTCCAATATATTTTGTCTTTCCCTTCCGCCCTTACCGTTCCGTTCCTTTGTGTTACTCTCACCGGGGGCGAGTTCAAAAGAGTCGTTGCTTGTGGAAATAACGCTGTCATTGGAATTCCTTTTTTCTTTCTTTTTTTTTTTAAAAAACGAAAAAATGGAAACAGATTTTGACCTCGCCTTCTGGGGGGGATGGTTACACGCCCCCGTATTTTCATCAAGTGTCCTTTTCAGCATTTTCTCATTTGGTTACACGATTTCACAATTTTGTACAAGTAAATGCACACATGAAGGGGCATTGAACTTAATTCATGGCCGTACATGTAGATATGTACAAAAAGCCTCTTCCAGCATGCGTAACATTAGGGGGGAAAAAAAATTCCTCAATTGATTGGTAAATGCCAAATTCCTGTAGGGGTTACCTGTGTGAGGAGATACACACTTTCGCCTTGTTCCCTTCGTGGGGTTGCTAATTCTCACGCGTACACTTGCACATGCAACTGCGTAAGCGATTAACGCGTACAAGTAAATTCATATTAAATGAGAATTAGTCCTTACGCCATGTGCTTGGCCTTATTCCTTGGTGGGTATTTGAGGGGAGTGTATAACCCCTTTTTGGCTGTCCCAAGTGGTTCGCCCTTTTTGCCAATTCGTCCAACTGGGTGAAGTGTGCACATCCGCGTCTGCAGTACGTTACTTTACATTGCGCTGCCCTGCGTTACGTTATTAGGTTTACGCCGCGATACACTTTTCGCGCTTCCCTACAGGACGAGAATGTATCTTTTACCAGCTCTCACCCCTTTTCTGTGTAACGCCCCAATGGTTTGAGCAATTCTCCCCCTTGGCGATAAAAACGGACGCGCGCAATGATGAGAAAAAAAAAAAAAAAGAAAAAAAAGGGAAAAAGAACAAGCGCGGGAAACCGTAACAAAGTGAAAAAGGCAAAAGGGGCAAAAAAGCACGAATGCGAACAAATAAATGCAACATGGCTGGACAAAAAAATGTGCTGAACAATTCAAGTGCAATTGCCTAGTACCACAAAATTGGCGCGTGTTGCATACACGCGTGATCGCATATATGCATGGGAGCATACACGCACGAACTTTATTTCTTAGGCCCGATGAGAACCCTTCTCACATTGGGTACTTTCTATGTTTCCTTCTGGAGCAACTTAGTGTGCCCGTTGGTTACGTGTTTACACCTAGGGGACCGTCCATACATTCGTTGCAAACAAAATGCATTTAAAAAAAAAAAAAAAAAAGAGAAGGAATTTTTACTTCAGTTTTTTATGTTCAAATTGTGCGAGAGTGAATAAGAGCAACAAATTTCCCTTCACCCTTTTCACTAATAAAATAAAAGTTGTCCTCCTTCTTACACATACAGTTTTCACTATTTCACGGATTGAAAACGGTATGCATAGAAGGTCGAAAAAAAAAAAATACAACACGCATAAATGAGTGGCAAAAATGTGTAGAATGGGAAATAATGCTGAGCGGAAGTGTACAAACGCAATAGAAAAAAAGAGGGATGTGGTGCTGGTCGTGGAAATGAGCACCAAGTTTGGTGGGTGTCCATGCGTCGAGCATAGCTAGGGGAGCGACGCACGGGTGTAAAAAGAGACGTGCCAATTTTGTTCACCCATCCGGCTTTAGCAACAAGGATAATTTGCTATGCCCCTCCTTGCTTTAGGCCCAAACGCGTGGGCGCAAAAAATGCACATAAAAAAGGTGTAACCCTATTTAGGCAACCCACTGCACAGCTGCGGCACCTTTCACATTTTCGCCTTCCTGGCCCTTCTTTTGGAATTATTTTTAATTGATCGAAATGCGTGCAGTGTTTTGGTCCTAAATTTGTCTTTGGTCATTATTGGCTTCAACTCCACATAAGAGTATGGAAGTAGTTTGTCCTTTTTGATGATGTCTCCCTTTCCTTTCTTTGATGTGTATGCCTTTTTATCTGCCGTAACAAAGTTGTTTGTTTTTTTTTTATTTTTTGATTTGTTGTGTAATTTGAGTTTGGCATGCATGTTCAGCTTCTCATTCATGCGGTTATACTTTTTGTTAATCACATCGTCTTTCTTTTTATTTCTCGCATTTTGCGAATTTACAGGGTGAACAATTATCTTTCCATCCAAGCCTACTTCTACATTTGCGTCATCCCCCTCGTTTTCATCACTATCGCTATAATCATAGTCGGAGTTACGCTGCACAGGTTGACTACCTCCTTCTCCTCCTCCGCTTGCCTTTCTCTTTTCCTTCCTCAAACCACGCTTCACGAAATACTGTTCGCCAAACAGGTCATTTATTTCCTTTTCATTAGAAAAGGGGATATTAAATTTTGCTTTGTTCTTAAAAAGGGAGGTTCCCAAGTTGTTGAGTACATCACTTACGTTTTTGTTAATTTTCACATTGGTTTCTTCCTCTTTCCCTTTTTGTTTCTTTATTTTTTTTCTTTTATTTTGACTCTGCAAAATGTTGTCCACGGCGGTTTTGATATAGCTCGTCTCCTTTTGTCCTCGCATGCTTTTTAAATTATCGAAAAAGGTCGTTAAATTGCGGTTCTGATTTTTTGCCTTCACATTACGCCTGTTCGTCTGGTTCGCATTTTTTTTACTTCGTTTGTTTCTTCCTTTGTTCCGCAGCGCCGCTCCCTGATCATGCGCACCATCGTTGTAGGCACTTGATCCACTCGATTCGGACAGCGCATCATCTTCCGACATAGCATAAGACATGACGGACGACCCTTCGTCTGATGATGCCACCGCTGTGTGCGCACTTTTGCTTTTCATTTTGTCTCTTCTCTGATGGTGACCCATTCCCCTTCCACGCATACCACCATCATCATTGCTTCCATCGCTTCTATTTTCACTATCGTGGAGCCCTTTCTTCTCTACCATTTTGTTGAATATTTTCCTATTTACTTTGGACAAGTATCGCATAATTACATCGTATGGTTTTTCCTTCTGATCACTTTCCTGCTCGCATTCGCTTACAAAGTGGTATAATATATACAGAAATTTCTCAACAAGGTATTTAACTCCTCTCTTCATTTGTGCAATGGTATTAAGAAGATTCATGAGCTCCGTCATGTTCCCCAGGATAACGTCTTTTCTAAAGTGTTGCACACATGTTAGCAAAAATTTTACGAAAATTTTCAACAGATTTTTCTCACTACTATTTGATAAGGCCACGCAAACACTGAATAACTGCACCTGGTCCCCATACTCAATTTTGTATCTTCTTACAAGCAAGTATAGAAGGTAGATTGCTATCTTCTTGCAACTCGCTTCTTCTACCAACAAGCCCGGCGTCACGTGAAGAAATAATGTTTTCAAATTTGATGACCCCAAATGGATTATGTGTTCAAATAGACTATTTCTCCTCAACTTGGTGGTAAACTTTTTGTTGATATAAAATAGGGCCTTCATTATGAGGGGCAGAATTTCAAAAAACAATTCTTGGCAGTAATCCCTATCGAGAAGTTTACCTTCTTTTAGATAAAACGTCAGGCAATTTAAATACACGTAAAACTTTTTAATATATTTATTTATATTATAATTGTCCAGATTGTCGAAGAAGGGGAGGATATTCTCTTTGGCCATCATAACGGGAAGATTGCTCTGGACCACTCTGCCGTCCATATATATGTTGTTAAGGATGAGTATCTCATTCTTGCTCATGTGTTGCATTCCACTTGGTACAGTCTCGCATGTCTCACTGGTCGTGCAGCCGATATTTTTGGTGACACCACCACTGGAACTATTTTTTTTTGAAAATATATTACCGAAATATTTAAACAGCGCAGCAACATTGTCATATATGAGGATCCTCACAAATTTGTACTTTTCAATGTCCATTTTTAACTCTTTTGTAAGTTTTGTTCTTCTTGCCTTTTCCTTTTTTGCTGAGTTGTTTTTTCTCTTTTCCTTTTTAATGAGGCCTTTAATTTTGCCCTTTTTGCCGATACCCTTTTGGTCCTTGTTTCCCCTTCGCTTGCTGTTCTTGGGATTTCGTTTCGGTTTGCTGCTGGCCGGGGTATGTGTGTCCTCACAGTGGGTAACCGCCTCTACCTTGGGCGCGTTGTCAAAGGGGGTGCTAACGCAGTCAATTCCTATCAAGTTGCCATGGTTTCCATTATTGCTCAGCGCAGCAAGACCATTTTGATTGCCCATTGCAGTTGCGGACATTTCTCCATTCACATGGGTTGCAAGTTCAAATTGTGCATTTGTATTTACACTGATAGGGTTGATGCAATAGCTGTTTTGTTCGCTTCCCACTTGGTGATTGCCTCCTCCTGTACGTTTTTCCACTTGGGGGCGACTGCCTCGTTCAGCCTTTCTCCCCTTCAAGCCGATAATTGAGCCCGTTATGGACATCTTCCTGCTGATCACTTCACCCACCAAATGCAGCAACTTCTGATAATACAAAGAGCAGAGAGTGAGTTCTTCATATGTAAAAAATGGGGTTAAAATTTTCAGCACAATGATTATACTAATGAGGGAATAAACTTCCTTCTCAATTTCATTCCTCAGGATAAGCTGTTCGAGGAGATTTAACACTTCACTCAAATTTGCGTCGGAAGAAAAATGTAAAGACACGTGTAGCAAATTTGAAAAACTTTCAATGACCATGGCTACACTGGCTCTATTTCGGCTCGACTCCAAACCAACGCTGGTAAACTTCTGCTCATAATGAGATGTCACGATCGATATAAATCTTGGCAAAAATATCTTCAGCAAATTGTCCGAAACGTGATTTAAGAAGAAATTATTCTTCTTTAAATTTATGAGGCTGTATTTGCATTTAATATCCTTCCTGTCTTTATCATAATCTGCACTCTTGGGAGACCACTGCGCTCCTTGACCGTTCGCCTTCAGTGTTGAGAGATAAAAATTTTCGAAAAAGTTAACAAACAGTGGAAGCAAGTGAAAATCGTTACAGTTGGTGAACTTGGTTACTAATATGTATAAGTCTTCTACGTTGGTAGATAGGAAGTAATACAAATTGATACAGTCGTTTAATGCCCGTGAGAAATGGACCAGTATATTTTTTATATAACTTAAAAAGCATTTCTTCTTAATGCTGTACTCTTCTTCCTTTTCGTACAAATCGATGAAATGCATAAGTAAAGGGTAGAAAAAATTGATCAGAAATTTGAAATTTCCTCCATTATATGTTTTGTTAGTATCTTTTAGAACTCTGTTCAGTATAAACACATCCTTAGACAGCAACTCCTTGCTGGAGAAAAAAAAATATTCTTCGAAAAAGGTACTGAAGCTTAGTATGCGAAATATTTTAGTTAGACAATTTGTTAGACAATTTTTGTAAGTCTCATCTGCACATTTGAGAATTATACTTTTGTATTCTGTTGGGAAATCTAAATCGCTGATTCTTAACACAGTTGTTAATTTGTTGCTATCTTCTGGTGCGCCTAGTTGTTCATCCACTTTGTTAAAAATAAAATGTGTGTTCTCCTCACTGGGGTTTCCTCCTTTCTCTTTTGTGACATATTCATCCGAAATTATGAGTATGTACAAACTCCAAATTCTTTTCAAAATAGCTGTATACAGTCCACTGTGCTTGGAATTGAACTTTTCGAAAAATTGATAAAACTCCTCCTGACAGTCATTTTTTCCCTTATACAAATGAATGACAACATTTTCGTAAAAGGTAAAAACTTCTTGGGTAGACAAAAAGATCATCGGATGAATTACAAAATTCTGGACCGTTAACAATTTGTTAAGCAATTGGAATGCATTAAAAATGACAAAGTAGGAATATTCAAACACTTTCATTTTTAGAAAATTAAAAGAAAATTGCAATAAGGCGACGTGTCTATGCACAATGTGCATGCTGCTAATTAAGTTGTATGCTGTCATAAATACACTCTGCGTTAATCTATTCATGGTGTCCTTCACTTCTTTGAAACTTCTTTCCACGCGCAAATCCACCTTATCGTAAAAGCTCTCCAACATGGTCTTTATTTCGATCATGTTACTTTTTATTTTCTCATTTTTGCAGTTCTCATTTTGGTGTAGCATGTCTAAAAGGGTTGCTTCACTTGGGTGGGTCGTTCCGTTCTTAAAAAAGGCCAGTTGCTCGTTTGGAAAGAGCAGCGTATTTGTACTTTCCTCCTCAGGTTGGTTGTAAATTGCATAATCCACCTGGTCGCCTTGATTATTCACCCCCATATGGATCCCACTTAGAGCGTTTCCCCCTCCATCGCTCACCTTGCTTTCCCGATCCGTCATATAATTTGCACTTTCGTGTAACCTCCTCAACAGTGTAAATAACAACATGACGTACTTCACCTTGGCCAAAGAATGCACCATTTTTCCCTTGGCAAAAAAAGGGTGCTTATTTTGGAAGTATACTAATATCCACCTCAAGACGAAGAAATTAAACGTCTGGTAGTAATCATCGTATGTGTTATAATTCTCATGAAGATTTATTAACTCATTCAGGAGCTCAAAAAAGAGATGGAAAAATTGGTCTTCCTCATCCGAGTTGACAAAAAGGGTGTCATTCTGTGGGGCTCCATTGTCACCCTGCTTGTAACCCCCCTTTTTGGTGATGCCCAACACCGTTGGCTGTAGCTTACTGTTCTCACACTCCTTCTGGTATATATTAAAAATGGAGCAAAGTGAAAATAAAAACTTTACTTTGTACGTATAGGGCATTATACTAGTCACAAATTTCATCACATTCATAAATTTGCACAACAATTGAAAATTTTTTGTAATTTTTATAGCTTTCAAATTTTTATATATGTACAAAAAAAAAACTTCCGCTTTGTACTTGGAGCATATGTTCACATGTTCGTCATTTTTGTCTCTTATATTTTCAGCTGTGAATCCTAATTCTTCCACCTTCATCAAAACATGTTCGTGGTCTATGCATTTTTTTATAACATCATACAGAATTGTGTAACTTATTTTTTGAAGAAGTTCATTTTTTTCATTAAAAAGGAGACAATTTTTAAGGATATCTATTTCTCCAATTTCTTTTTTACCAAACAAACGTTCCTTCAATATGTCGCTTGCATTTTTGTCTGCAAAAAATTCCTTATTATAATAGTGTTCATTTCCGCAGTTTGCTCCATTTTTCTGCTTTTCATATTTCCTCTGGTTCACATATTTTATAATTACGTTTGTGATTAAGTCCTTTGTCGCGCTGTTCCCACTACTACTCACGTGCGAGCGGTCTTTTTTTTTTTTAATAAAACTCTTGGTCTTCTTCAGACTCCCCAAATTTTTCTTTTTGCATGTTTTAAACTTATCCATTTGTCTGACGCGTCAGCGCACATGGGGGTAGAGGGCAAATATCTCCAGGTTGTTGCTGTTGTCGTTGTTGTTGCGCTGTTGTCGTTGTTGTTGCGCTGTTGTCGTTGTTGTTGCGCTGTTGGCGAGGTGGGCATAGCCTATGCGCACGAAGGCGTGGATATCTTTTTATGCGCTACGGGAGGAGTACTCATGCGTTCCCTAATGTTCACTCGCTCTTCGGTTTAGGTTGTTCCCACTTCCAGGGTTTGGTCTATGCCTGGTTCAAGGCGCAATTCCTCAAATGTATGCTCTGAGGGGTCACAGACCAAAAGGATTTGCTACCGTTCCCCCAGCCGCAGCCTATTACAAGTGCATACGTTCTGAGCGGATACAATTTCCCCCTTAATGTGGTCACCGGCAATGTAAAAAAAATGGTCTTGTAAAGTTGCAAAAAGAAATATGCACCTGCCAAAGCATCGCTATTCGCGGGGGGAACATCTCTGTTGTTGGTAAAGAAATTAAACTCACAAGTCGAGTCCCTTAAAAATTGGCATAACCAAGAATATTCATTACATGTTTGTAAAATGACGGGAAAAATACGCTTGTCCCCTTTGCGCCAGGGTATTCAAAAATGAATTTATAACCTGGCACGGTAGCGGCAAGTAGGAATTAATTATACATGTAAGGAAAATGCGAATGGTAGAATAAGGTTAACTCTGGTTTCAACTTTGGCTTTAATTGTGGTTTTAATTCTTTTCTTCGCTCGATACGATTTTTTCTTTCTTTCTTTTTTTTTTTTTTTTCCAGCCTTGTCGCAATTATTTTAAACGTTACGTGCATTTGCATATGTACGTGTATACATTACGCTGCGCATCTATAGCCCCTTTTATTTTTGAGGTTCCGCTTCAGGGCAACGTTCTCATTTTCGCCCCACTGTTGCGCTAATTTATGGACGCAGGGGGGCAATACAAACGCAGGATAATTCCATGAACGGAGTTTGTGGCGCGACACCCTTTTTTAGGAGGCGCAGAAAATTATTACAGTTTTATTTCATCCCAGAAGGAAGGAGAACTTTTCATATTCCGCAATTTATGCCAATTTGCACTCATAAAACAAGCACGCTGTTTGTGGTAAACGATGTTGTTGCATTTTGTATAGTTGCGTAGTTAGCCCGAAAGGAACATAAAACAATTTTTGGAAGCTCTTTTGCAAAAACAGCGACGCGCTGTCGTAATCGTACAAAAACAGAAGGACGAGTCATTTTTGGACACGGGCTACGCGCATATAAGAGGCACGCCATGAGCGAAGCGCAAAAAAATGGAAACCTCAATTTTTTTTTTTCCATTTTAGCGAATAGTAGTCAGCGTTTTAATTGTGTAGTGTTCAACTGTAGGGGCTATTTGTTTGTTTATTTGTTTTTTTTTTTTTTTATTTGTTATTTATTTTTTTTTTTTTATATGTATTTATTTATTTTTTTTTTTCCCTTGGGAGATGGAACACCAAAATGATATTCTACTTTTTCGGAAAGATAGACCCTTCACTTATTCGATGGCAGAAATGATGTAGCTGACATGGTTTATGGGGGTGAGCCTTCCACGGTGATCAAAGGTTTGCATTTACACTTATGCATGTGCGTACGAATGCACTCTAGCGCCACAGAACGTCGTGTAAGGCAGACGCCCAGGTGCCACCTTACATGCACACATACGAGCAATTCTTTACCCACAACAGCGTCTGGTTGATTATTTTACCTACCCTTACACATGGGCGGTGTTTTCGCTGCCCCCCTATTGGCACACGTACCGATTAGCTGTATTTTCGCCGAAGCAGCAGTAATCATTTTACGAATCATCCCCTGCGTCAGTGTTCCTCCGTTGGTGTTTTTGCAGCGGCCACACCACGTTCATCTTAAAATAGACCCATATGATTACTCTTTTTAATTGGTGGTGTCCCCTCCCTTGGGGGCGCGCGTTAGTAGGATATAATACTGCTAATAAAATTAGTCCTAAATTATGCCAAGCTTCCCTATCCCCTTTTTTTCCTTAGAGGGTGGTTTTCCTTTTCAGCTCCTTGGCGCTTCCCCCAATTCTGCAATAGTCTGCCTGTGTGCACATGTAAGCGAATGCAGATATTTCTGACAATCAGGGTTTAACACATATACTTGTTTGACTTTACATATGTGTATAAGTATACTGGCACCTTCATTTTTTTTTTTTTTTTTTTTTCTTCCACCCGTTAGTATACTGCACATAAGCTTCCTGTTCCATTTTCGGTTTGTAATTTTTTTTTTTTCCCTAAAAGGGTCACTCTTTATCTACCATTTGGTTGAGCCCTCCGGCGTTCCACAAATCGAGGTTGTTAATTTGGTGCCGCTAAATAATTCCGCTTCACAATTGCGGTCATTCGGGGTTACCTCTTTTCCGCACTCAATCAGTCGCATTTGCAATGTGTATGTCACGGTTATTTTTTTTTTTTGTTCATTTCCTTCACTTCAATTTGTTTTCTCTTTTTTCTTTCATTTCTAAGCTAACCCCGCAGAGTACCTGCCAAACGTACCTACGAGCGTACACTGTTTTAAACGGTTTCTACGTTCCTCCTTTTGGCTCTCCCCCAAGGAGCCACCTTTTTTTTTTTTAAACTACCATAGTATATGTACACGTAGGAAGTTGAAAAAATAAGGGCATTTTTTGTTTCAGGGGTCAGTTCTGCGTGCTCACCAGTCCTTTTCCATTCAGATACTTTCCCTTGCTTCTGTTCCCCGCTGCGCTGGACGCCGCGACCGACGGTGTACTCGAATTAGGATGAAGCCCGTGGGCCCCTTAATTTGCTCGCTGGTGCTCCTGGCGGGCCTGTGCCCCAGGAATGTCTCGGGCCTGTACTCAAATGTGAAGGAAATAAAAACAGTGGAGAGCCCCAAAGAGTTCGAGGAGTTCCTAAGTACCAAAAAAGTGTGCCTCGTCGAATTTTACGCAACATGGTGTAGGGCCTCCAGGGGGTTTGCGAACGACTTTACCAGCATAGCCAAGACGATAAAAGACGACATAACAATTTTGGCCGTAAAAAATGAAGATATAATTAACCAGTACAACATTGAAACTTACCCAAGTATACATGTTTTCTTCGCAGACGACAGTAAAAAATATGTGGAGAAATTTGATGGCAATTACAAAATAAAAGAAGTGGTTTCTTTTGTATATGATAGTATAAAAAAACACCGTTTGAAAGAGCTAAATATAGACATGGATGATATAAATAAAAGCTCCTATAAAAAAAAAGGAAACAAAAAAAATGATGGCAAAGTAATTATACTAAATGACGCCAATTTTGATAACAATGTATTACAGGATGATGAGAACGTCTGGTTTGTCTTTTTCTACGCTCCATGGTGTGGACACAGCAAACCGATACACCCCATGTTCGACCAATTAGCAAAAAAAGTAGCACATTTGAAAAACGCACGAATTGCGAAAATAGACGCTACAGTGGAACAACGATCAGCGGGAATTTATCAAATAAGACATTATCCATCTTTTAGGTTATTCCCTTCAGGAAAGAAAAAATCACATAGTGCTATAGAATATAACGATTCTAGAACGGTAGAAGACTTGTATCAATTTTTTTTAAAATACTATTCAGAAAAGAAGGAAGTAATTCAGTTGACTTCTCAACAGGTGTTTGATGAATATTGCGAAAAAGACGTATGTCTCTTAGCCATTTTACCAAACAAAGAAGACACTGAACTTAGTTATTTCAAATCCTACGTTAATATACTGACCAATGTTATTAAAGACGTTAGTATGCTACCAGTCACTTTGTTGTGGACTCAAGCAGGAGATCAACTAGACCTCGTACAAAAGTTAAATCTTACTTTCGGTTTCCCCACTGTTATTGCCATCAGCTTTTCGAAAAATGTCTATTCCATTTTGAAGGGGAATTATTCTGAACAGTCCATCAAAAATTTCATCACACAAATGATGATGGGCAAGTCTTCTGTTGACAATTTGGTTCCCTTTACAGTGAAGACGGTCCCCAAGTTTAGTTTCACGAGCACAGAGGAAGCCAACTCAGAGTTATGAATTGAAGCGCAGAGAAATTACCACAAACAAATGGAACAAAAAGGGGGAGAATGAGAAAATTATTTGAAGACCAATTGTTCTTCAAACTGCACGAACAAATAAATATACATTCCCTCTATATTATTTTGCCAATTTGTACATTCACACATGTGTCCCCTTCTCTGTTTTATGTTCATACAAATAGGTCTATTTGGTTTGATGCCCATATGGGTTATACTTTTTACGCCCCTTGTGATGTGCTCACAAATTGGAAAAAAAAAAAAAAAAACGAAAAAGCTCCTTCCATCAACGCAAATGATTTTGTAAACCCATTTGCGTAACTGCAAAGTTGCTTACATTTTTGTGTACTGCTTAACTTTCAGTGGTATTTTTTTTTTTTTTGGGTGGGGCCATGTGCACCCTACATTTGCGCTAAAGTAACGACAATCATGTGGAACATTTTACATGGCGCATTTTTTTTTTATAACACTTCATTTATTTATTCATTTAAGATTATTCAAGTTTTATAATTAAAAAGTATGAAAAAATTTTGAAGCAAAAAAAAATAAGTCGAGCTCATGAATTGACGCTTCTGCGGTGTGCGTCTTTTTTGCGCATCGTAGGGAGCGCTGCTATGTGTATATACATATACGCACGTGCATACACATGTATGCATATGTAGCTACCCTTATGATGCTGGCCAAAGTGCCAATGGCCACTCACCTACATGCGCACGCTTAACCGCAAGCCAGTGAAAACATGCAGTTCGTTTAACTTAAAACATTGTTAAAAATAAATATACGTACGTACCGTGCGCGCATCGCGCATGTATACCCCCGTATACATATGCAATTTTAAATGCACGTAGACACACAGGTGAAATTCTGTGCCCTTCACATGGGATGGAGGCCAAGGATTTTTCGTGTTCCACTTTCAAAACAGTAAATTGCATACATATTTACGTAT